TAGATTAATTCCAAGATTACAGTGAGATTAATCTAGATTAAGAAAACACAAACAAAACAAGATTGACAAAACTAGTGCCCTTCTGAATCAAACCAGCAGGACGCCCTTCTGGATCTTTCACTTACTTCGAAGACACGACTGACTACGCTTACATGGACATCTGTAATCTAGTTATTTGCCTTAATAGACAATAATATTATGAAGGTGTTAACGTGAAGTGCTTTCTTGTAAGAGTTTCCTGTCACTTTGGATGACCCTAACTGCAGTTCGGCACGTTCACTTTAACTCATGAACACTTCATTCATGCTCCCGTGACAAACTGGGCTATTAGACGCAAATAAGGAGTAAGGACTGGTGAGGGTGTTATGGAATATAATAACAAGCGCCAAATGGAACGAAAAAAAACTTCCGCATTTTGTGATACTGACAGCCGTGTGTGTGGATCTTGTCAGAAAATATTGCGAAAAGTTCTACATGACGGTAATAGTTTGATTATGGTGTTTACCAAGCGTAGATTGCACTATCATGTTTTTCTCTTCTTCTTCATTCTTTTATATCACATTTTACCTGTTTTTATGTTTTGTTTTGTTTTGTTTTTACGCATTTTTATTATTTGTTTTTATTTTTATTTTACTTGTTTCTTTTATTATTGTTTATGTAAAGCACTTTGAATTGCCATTGTGTATGAAATGTGCTATATAAATAAACTTGCCTTGCCTTGCCTTACTTCAATACGCCCACTAATATCTGCATACTCCATATGCCTTAACTCCATTTCTGTTTAGCTCATTGATGACTTTAGTCGAATTAAAGTTATCAAAAATGGCTGTTAGGAGCTTACGTAGGCCAACAGTTCAACATTCATGCTTAAATGAATGAACAGTGAGTAAACACAAGCACATCTTATTGAACATCATTTATTTTCATCACTAATTATCATAGTAGAACAGTTTCTCAAGCAGTTTGTGTTGCGTTTTTGGAAACAGGAGATAACCCCTGGTCTAATGCGCCACCTGGCTTGAGAAACCTGTTCTCAAAGACTTATTATTTGAGTAGCCCAGATGTTTTGAATGCCTTCAGCAGAATTCAAATGAGAAATTTAATCTAGATTAATTCCAAGATTACAGTGAGATTAATCTAAATTAAGAAAACAATCTATGCCCACCTATACTTGATGATCTGAAAAAAAAATCTATATAAAAATAATTTAATGCAGAAAATGAGTTGGAATAAAGTACTACAGCATATCTCTCCATTGTGTTTTCATCCATTGCGTGGCCAGTGAAATTACCACCATCTCTTAACAGTCTTATATTTTAAAAGGGGGATTTATGAAGAGCTTATTTTAATAAGCCGAAAAGAAAATGAATGAATAAATATTCTGCATGATGGGTGGCATGGTGGCTCAGTGGTTAGTACTGTGGCCTCACAGCAAAAAGGTTGCGGGTTCGAGCCCCTGCTGGATCAGTTGGCGTTTCTGTGTGGAGTTTGCATGTTCTCCCCATGTTCGCGGGGGTTTCCTCTGAGTGCTCTGATTTCCTTCACAGTCCACACAAATGCGCTATAGAATTGATGAACTAAATTGGCTGTAGTGTGTGTGTGTGTGTGTGTGTGTGTGTGAGTGAGAGAGAGGGAATAAGTGTGTATGTGACTGTTTCCCAGTACTGGGTGGAAGCTGGAAGCGCATCAGCTGCGTAAAACAAAGGCTGGAATTGTTGGTGGTTCATTCCGCTGTGGCGACCCCCAATAAATAAAGGACTAAGCTGAAGGAAAATAAATAAGTGAATGAATATTTAAATTCACCAAAAACTGTTATATTCACTAAGAAAGGGATAAAAAATATATATTAATTTAGGCTAAGCATTGAAAAACACAATATTCATCTCTGTTATGAAAGGCTGAGCATCTTTAATTCTGTTTAATTCTCTGTCTGTTATATGTATTGTCTTCTGTTGTAAGATGTATTGTGCTTGTTCTTAGTTTTTCTCTTGTTCTTTATCTTATTATGAGAATTTGTGTCAATTGTTATTGCGTCCTTGCTGATTTGATTGACTTGCATGGTTAAATAAAGGTCATTGTTCTTATTTAGGTGGACACAAATGCACAGCTTTAAAATCAGATCAATTTATTTTAAGCACAAATTCAGACAGACAGATAGACAGATAGATAGATAGATAGATAGATAGATAGATAGATAGATAGATAGATAGATAGATAGATAGATAGATAGATAGATAGATAGATAGATAGATAGATAGATAGATAGATAGATAGATAGATTTAGCCTTGTTCATATTGTTTTGTTTATTGTGAGCTCATAAAATGAATCATCTGTGCTGTAATGCATGTACGTAGATCTTTAGACTGGCGATTTTATGGTTTCTTTCTCTTTATTCTGATTATTTTGCAACTGTTTTGAGGAAACAACATCATCTGCTTTTAATCAAGCAATTTAACTTGTCTGCTGTTTATTTGTGAAGCTTAACTGCATAGTTAAACTTTACCATATATGTAAATACACATTTAAAAACATGCAGTAAATATCATAGTTTAAAAACGCTGGAATGTTTTAACTTAATGTAGGTCAAATATGGACAAACCCAACAGTTAATTTAAATAAATGCTATTTAAATTTAATGATAAAATAATAATTATAATAACCAACACTGCGGATTTGTCTATTAGACCCAATGAAGAGTTATATACAGAAACTTAGCATTTTAGAGTGTCTGAAATGTACTGTATGTTTTTAAATATGACATTATCCCTGTATTTACATATATAAGGTTTAACTACAGCTTCAGCATAAAGCACTAGAGTAAGCTTTCATGCAAAAATGAAGTGATGAAATTTATGCAAATATAAATAATCGATGATCCCTTTCCCATACCCTGTTAAAATAGTTGAGTTAAAAATACCCCAACATATAACCCAACTTTCCGTTAGCATTGGGTTATATCATTTAATCTAATGCATTGGGTTATTTTAATTAAATATTATTTGTTTTTCATACTGCTATGACTATTGCTACTAGTACTATTAATAACTTTATAAATATAACTGAGTAAATAAATAACCTTTATTTATTTAAATATTAAAAAAATGCTTTATTTCAATTACATTTAAGTTCCAGACACTTTTGTTAAAATAAATCAAGGATCACAAACAATGAAGAAGCAGAACAAAGTGCAGACCGTTATAAACTGCAAGCAGAAAATCTCATGTTGATGAAGCAGAATATGGAGCTCTGTGTGCTGTAGAGGCTGTCCAGCAGCCTATCTATCTATCTATCTATCTATCTATCTATCTATCTATCTATCTATCTATCTATCTATCTATCTATCTATCTATCTATCTATCTATCTATCTATCTATCATCCATCCATCCATCCATCCATCCATCCATCCATCCATCCATCCATCCATCCATCCATCCATCCATCCATCCATCCATCCATCCATCCATCCATCCATCCATCCATCCATCCATCCATCCATCCATCCACACACTCTAAAAAACGTTGATTTATTTATTTACCCAATGATTGACTTAAAAAAAATTGGTGCTTTGGTGGGTTATTTTAACCTTTATGGGGTTATTTATTAATAACTCAGCCAGTTGGCTTAAATATTTGGTGCTTTTTTGGGTTATTTTTAATCTTTATTATGTTTTTTTTTTAGTTTTTTTAGACTCAAACAGTTGGGTTAAAAAGTTTTAATTTTAACAGTCAACTGATTTCACTGATACAGAACAGCGGTATTAAAATATGTGTGTAATGTTGCTTTTGTATTATAATGTTTATACTCTAACACATTAATGTTGTTTTATTTTTTATCAAATTGCCTTTTCGTGTCATGCTTTTTCTCTCTGTTTTACCTGCACTCTTAATTATTGATGATACAAACTCGTGATTCATGGCCGATCTATATTAAATGGATAAAAAATGTGTCTGGAATTTATAATGTAGTGAAAATAAAGCATTTTCAATATTTTTGAAAACTGCATGTTTTATATATATATATATATATATATATATATA